TTGTTTTTACTCCCTTTGGGAGCTTTTAGTGTCGTAGTGGTTAGTTTGTTGGTCCAGGGTATTCCCCCAGTGGGGTCGGTTCTAGGCGGGCTTCGGCCTGTCCTCCCAGTTTATTCTGCTGTTGGCTGCTTGTATTCAGCTATTGGTTGTCTATATTCAGCTCGTGGTTGTACCTTTTGCACTTATGTGCCTTTTTTTTTATAAAATCTCTATCGTTCCGGCAAAAAAAATATAAATAGCCTTCTACATTCCTAAAGGAACAATAAAAAAATAAATATTATATGGCCTCTGAAAAATATTGATAAAGGAAGGTCTCAAAATCGAGCGAAAAAATGTTTAGCATAAAAATTTTCACCTGCGTACGTAATTGGTTTATTTTGGTTTTGTAGTGATTATAATTTATAACATAAATATTATTAAAAAGATTAGTTTTTTTTTTCGAAACAACAAAAATATTCATAAAACTAATAAACATTCTTACAAATTGAGGAACCAACTAGTTCGAATCAAAACCAAATACAAGGGATAAACACCACACGTGTGACCTAAAAGCACACACCACCATCAACTCAACAGGGTGGCTAAAGGCGAGGATAGAAGCTCGAAATCAATATAGTCCCCAACAACCAGAAAAAACACAAAAACAAAGAAACAGCTACAAGGAAAAGTAGAACAAAACAGAACACAAGAACCTGATCAACTACGAATCCAAACAACGGTCCTAGAGAGTTTTTCTAGAGAGAAACTCCCTCCACTCTAACCAAGCCAATCAAACAATCAACCTGTCAGGTAGTCATTCCTCTTGGAATACCCACAAGTTCATGGCCTTCCAAAGCCACCATAATATGTAGGTCGAGAGCTGAATACAGGCATCTGAGATCTCTGATTTGTCAGGAGTTGAGACTTGCCACCAACAATCTGCTCAATACTTTCCTCCTCCTCACCATAACACCTGCATATCAAGTCCACATTAGTTTCTCTTCTTTCTAAGGTTGGTAGCCACATGAAGGGTACCAGAAAATCCTCTCCAAACAAAGTGTTTTATCTTACCTTTGACATCTAGATTGCAACATCTTTTCCTAGCTAATTTATCTTTAGCAGCACCCTTCAGCTCTTTCTAAATGAAGTATCTTGTTCCAGAAAAACTGAGAGTAAGCTGAAGCAAATGAGAACTTACATTTGGGTTTTTACTTGATTTTGGTTTTGTCTATGTTCATATAACTCGGTGGCAGGTCGAAAATGTTTACATAGATTTATTCGAAGACCTCGGGGGCAGACCTTGAAAGAAGGTCGCGCATTTTCAGTCGATGGAGGTAGATCGAAATTGACGGGCATGATTGAATGAGAAAAGCAGAAACAAGAGGGTTGAATTTCAAATTTTGAACTGAGGGGCGACATGACGAGGTGGTTGAAAAGGTATATCTTTGAGCGAAGAGAGCTCAAAAATGGTGGTCGAATAGCAGACGTGAGTTTAAATTTTCAAATTCAATATACAATGAGGTTCGAGAAAATCTATCAAAGCCTCAAGGAAGTCCAAGTAAACAGGTCGAAAAGTATCAAAGGAAGGTCGACATTGCAAAATGAGGAGCAAAGGAATTTACTCAAGGAATCAAGGTTCGACCTGAAGGTGGCGTCAGGTCATTCAGTTTTAGACCTTGGTGGTGGTTCATTCCCATTTCGACCTCAGTGGAAGGTTATTCGATCCTCGACCATTAGGTCAGTCATTTTTCGACCTCCCTAGAAGGTCATCCAGTTTTCGACCTCAGTTAAAGGTCCTTCAGTATCCGACCTCATCGGGTGGTCATTCATTCTCGGCCTCAGAGGCAGGTCGTCCGCATTTTGACCTCAGTAGAAGGTCATCCAATTTTCAACCTCAGTGAAAGGTCTTTCGGTATTCGACCTCGGTGGCGTGTCATTCAGTATTTTACCTCAGTGGAAGGTTATTCAATTTTAGACCACATCAACAGGTCATTTTTTACCTCAGTGGAAGGCCATTTGGTTTTCGACCTCAGTGAAAGGTCTTACGGTACTCCACCTCATCGGGTGGTCATTTAGTTCTCGACCTCATAGGTAGGTCGTCCAGTTTTTGAACTCAATAGAAGGTCATCCAATTTTCCATGTCAGAGTAAGGTCTTTCGGTATTCGACCTCATCTGGTGGTCATTCGATTCTTGACCTCAGAAGCAGATCGTCTGGTTTTCGACTTCAGTGGAAGATCCTTCGATATTCGACCTCATCGAATGGTCATTCAGTTCTCGACCTCAGAGGAAGGTGATTTGATTTTTTACCTAAGTGGCAGGTCATTCGATTCTTGACCTCTGAGGCAGGTCATTCGGTTCTCGACCTCAGTGGATTGTCAATCGGTTTTCGAAGTAGAAGGTCATTCGATTTTCGACCTTAATGGCAGGTCATCGGGTTTTCGACCTTAGTGATCTTTCAGTTTTCAGCCTCATCGGCACATCATTTGGTTTGCGACCTCGGTAGCAGGTCATTCGGCTTTCAACCTGAATAGGGCGTCAGGTTGTTCGATTTTTTACATTAGCGGAAGGTCGTGTTTCTTAGTGCTCATTCGGTGGTCACACAGGGTATTTGGTGACTATTTGATGGACGAAGATTTATTCAAATTATAGCCTCAATGGTAGGTTGATGGAAACAGCCAGAGGACATATTTCAATCTTCAGATCGAGTTATGCTCACGCGACCAGAATGGGGGACTAGATGATAAGGGATACTATACTAGACCGATTATAATGAATAAGAAGGAATATATTGGAGAATAAGCCCACACATGGGCTAGGATACATGACATAATGGTATTGGTCAAGCCCAACTTAGGCACTAAGGTACACTTCCCCTATAAAGGGGGTCTAAGGTAGCAGAAGCCCCCCATTTTCTCTACATTCACTATTGTACTCTCATATTGCACTCTTTATCTCTGGCGAGTGCTGACTTGGGCATCGGAGGCTCGACGCCGAGACCTCTCCCGGAATTGAGTTCTTCCAGGTACGGAGGTCGTCCGAGTTGAAGGAGCCCAGGTGAAGTCTTCACACAATTCTCTGCAGATTCGTCGCATATATGCCGCATAGTTTATCACATAATTTTTACGCACTTATTCAATTATCTTCGCCTTTATGGCGCATATGTCATCGTATAATGAGATCGCACTTGCTCAATTATCTTCGTCTTTCTGTCGCATAGTTTATTGTATAATCATTCCGCACTTGCTTAATTAACTTCACTCGCTTTCGCCTAGTTTATCATATAATGAGATCGCACTTGCTAGATTATCGCTTCGATTATCTTTAGCCTAGTTTATCGCATGATTACACTTGCTCAATTAACTTCGCTTGTCTTTTGCCTTGGTTATCGCATAATGAGATCGCACTTGATCGATTATCACTTCGCTTGCCTTTCGCCTAATTTATCACATAATGAGATCGAACTTGCTCTATTAGCTTCATCTTTCTGTCGCATAGTTTATTGCATAAGAAATTCGCACTTGCTCAATTAATTTCGCATGTTTGTCGCATACTTTATCGCATAAATGTTTCGCACTTTATCAATTAGTTTCACTTGTCTGTCCCATAGTTTATCTCATAAATATTTTGCACTTTATCAATTATTTTCACATCGTTCTCATAGTTCATCGTATGATTATTTTGCACTTTCTCGATTATATTCACATGTATGTCGTATAATTTACCTCATAATTATTTTTCACATGCTCGATTATCTTCGCATATTTGTCGCATAATTTATCACATAAATATTACGCATTATATCAGTTATTTCGTTTGTCAGTCGCATAGTTATTACATAATTATATCGTATTTTATAAATTTCATTCGTTTATTTCTAGCATAGTTTATCACATAATTTGTTTTGAATTTATTAGAATGAAAATATGAACTTATTTATTGAGAAAATCATATCACCTTTACAGTGAGGTGAAAATAAATATTTCTTCTATTTTTATAGTGTTATTAGTGTACTAAACTCACTAGCCTTCCTCGGCGAACGGCGACCTCCGGCCAGTAGTCGCCCTGATCGCTCGGCCCACCCTCGAAGTTGTTCGCCTCCGATGTCGCTGTGGTTGTCGGTGTTTGGTGGTCAGACCTCGATTGCTGGCGGGACTACCGTGGTGTGCCCGATCTTCGCTTGATCGACAATTGGCGTCCCGTATGTCGTTAGGTCTTCTATTGCTGAAGGTATGTCCCACGATCTATTCCGAGTCTTTTTTTATCGGCTTTTCTTACCGGAAGGGCCACAGTTGTGGATTTGGATTTGGTCGCCGATGACTGTCTGTGGTGTGGGAGGGTGTGCGGTTCTTCGAGGGTGGGGCGGGCTCTAAAAGCCTCATCGTCTGCGATGGGCAGTCGGAGTTGGGGACCGAGCAGCTCGTTACCTTCCGGTTCCTTGGTTGGCTAGTGGTGTTAGGTGACGGGGGATTAGATCCTACTGAGCTTGGCTAGTGGTATTAGACGAGTTCGGTGGGGCTGGCGTGGGGGCTGGTTGGGGCTCTCTCGGTTAGAGATGGGTCGATTCGAGATTGTCTCGGGGGTTGAGTTCACCTGCTGTATAGGCGTTCGTGA